TTAATGAGGCGGCTCCTGCCAATCAGAGTAGGAAACTTGCACCTAGATGGCGGGGCCCTTACCGAGTAATTGAAAGAAAAGGTCCGGTTAATTTTGTTATTAAAGGTATTTTTGAAGACCAAGTTGAGAGAACGATTCACATTAATAAGTTAAAACCTTATCACGCGAGGGAGGAACTAGAGCTGCCTTCAGCAAGTCTAATTCCTGACCTGTCTAATGATCCAAGTGCTGAGTCAGATGATGAGGATGACCTCCTGTCAGACCTCATCAGTAGTCAAGTTCAATCTTGTCACCCTATGGTAACAAGGTCGCGAGCTGTACAGTAAATTGGTAATGATCTCCCCTAGTCAGGTTTAGTAATTTCATAATAATTATCCTGTAGAGGCACTGGTGTGTATTTACTGATGTACATGGCTCAGGTAGCATACTTGCCTTGCTCTGGGGTTTCCAACTACCTATACCTCAGAGTAATATCCATGCTTCCGCCATTTGTTGTTGTCTGTCTTTCTCAGGTCTGATGGTACACCAGTTCCAGCCTCCCAGTCACACGTGAACCAAGGATCGAGATCAGCAGGTCTGGGGATGACCCACCTGGCTGATAAGATCGGGGTCTGAGGCACGTTACATAAAGTCCTCCCCCCTTGTACCCGGTAACTCGTCAATGGGTTATCCGGAAGGGGTGACTGGCGTACAGTCACCCGGCCGACACCTCACGTCACTAACGAGGTTGTCCCAGTCCAGCCATGCTGTCATCACGGAGCAGAGTCCAGTCACCATCACAACCGTGGGCTAGCTGTCTCAAGGTCACCAACCACGCCCACCAGCCGCGTAGTCAAGACTGCGGGAAAACCGGAAGTGGAAGACGAGTGGTCTACGAAGAAGAACGCTAATTGCAAGGACTTGTCAGCTCTTATCAAACCTGTGGTTGCGTCGTCTGTGGAAACCAAGATGCAACGCGGTGGTCTCAGGTACGAACAGCACTACCCCTACAGAGTGCTTGCGGAATCGCCAGATGAGGTACAATCCTGTACCTCGGCCCAAGTTCAGCTACACGAGGGGTTGCACGGAAGGTGTACCGGCCCAGTAGTACCGGGATAACAAGTAAACGCCGGTAGATGACGTCGCCCAGGAGCTGAGGCAGGGCCCACCTGTCCTGTCACCATGCCACCCTCTTCAACGCCACTCGAACCTCACTACCAACGCGAGACATCGTGATACGTCGAAGCTGTGCTCTACTGTGGCAGCCATGGTTAACAACAATCCATCAAGACTGTTTGGGGAGCGAGAAGAAGAGGTGAACCCGGGTTCCTGTTAGCGGGGTCCACCTGAGCTGACAGCCGCCAGCTGTCAGCTGTCACTCAAGTCAGGTGCGGGTAGTACGAGACCCCCTGTACTGTCCGTAGTTGGCCGAGGCCGGAAATGGAACTTCCAGACGACCAGGATCTTCAAGCAACATGAGGTAGTCGCCGGAATCTACAGCAACCAAATGTCAACAGGAACGAACGAGAGAAAATATTTATAGAAAAGTTTTCATATAAAAATAAACGCTATTAATATAGTAAACTGTGGTAACTCGGAACAGTTCAACTTTTAATTTTCCATCTGATAGTAATCACCTATACACCTTCGGAAAGTTCTCTGGACCAGTATTAAATATTGAAAACTAGAACTAGTGAAATCGAGAAATAAATCTAGAAAGTGAACATTAGACAATGACCCTGTCTCTAGATAAGTTGTATGAGTGAACTGGTTTGAGAACCATCTAGTAGGATCTCTAGAAACGTTGATCAGTGGGAAACTTTATCTAGATTTTTCTAGATCCTAGATACTGATAGTTATACATATATTTTTTTGTGGTTTACTGAACAATAAGGGTGTGGTACACAGTCTGACAAATGTGTTCACCCGCTGTTGTTGTGGACTTGAATATGAACTCTGGGATATTAGGAGTTGAGGAACTTATATCCAGAGTGTTGTTGGTTAAGGGACATGTCTGTGGACATGTCTGTGGACATGATTTTTTTTAATAATAAAAATATTTCTGTGTCTTTTCTTTAGATTTTAAGATTTGGATGCGCTGTGGTGGACAGTTGCCACAGGTGTGGAGTGGAACACTAGGTCCCTGAGAGGTAGTGTTCTTCCATGTTGATATAATTTTATAATTTTGTTATTTTTTAATGACTGATTTTTTTTTAATGACATTGATTTTTTTTAATGTTTTGTGTGATGTGTTTGATCTTTATTCCGGGTGGAATACTGGGTTAGCTGAAGGCTATCAGCTGATTTTAGCTAGTTAGTAATTGTTAGGTTGGGATTTCTCCAGTTATTTGTTACTATATCGAGACAGGTATAGGATATTTTGTCTTCCAGGTAGTTGGAAGGGTACGGGGCTGCATCCAAGTGGACAGCCAGGATTATAGGGACGGTCTCTGTCCTTATGTTTTATGTATTATTACTGTTGTGTTGATAGGTATAAATACATGCTGGGGCGCACCTTTTGGGTATGCCGTTATTGTTGTTGGAGTATTGGATGGAATTAGTTAGGATTAGATAATTTCTTTTGTTTTGAGGCATTGGTTGAAAATAGTGTTGGGTTAAAAATGTTGTTTTGGAGTTAATGGTTAGGGTAGGGCAGGATTTCTGGATAAGAAAAGTGTGTGTAACTTGCTTTACACACAAATTTCTTAATTTCCGAGGAGGGGGAGTTGTAATGATCTGGGGCTCAGATCATTGGTTCTCCCTTCTCCCCTCTTTTCCCTCCCCTTCTCCCCTCCTTTCCTTCTCCCTCTCCCCTCCTTCCTTCTCCCCTCCCCTTGGCCGTCATTCGTCTCCTCCTCTTCCCCCCCCCCTGTCGCCCATTTGTCAGGGTCAAGAGGTTGACCTGAGGGTAGGGTGGTCGTGGATACCTTGGCTTCTCCCACTCAATTCCCCACTCAGATATTTCCCTCTCCACCCCCTCTCATCCCTCTCTGTCCCTCTCAGCAGCGGCCTTCCCCATACCAGGCAGAGTCAAATGTCCCTACTCCTATCTTAGAGGAGACAGGCTTGAACATAAATTATCAGTTTTGTAAACATTGCTCGCAGGTGCCTGGGCTCCATAGACGCGCCTTGTCCCTCTTCTCTTTAGCTGGGGAGAGCTGACTCAATCTTCAGAAATTCATGTAGCTTCCACGACAGATCAGTGAAGGTGATTGGCCTGAGATAAGGGCCAAGTCCTTATTGGCCCTAGAGAGCCAGACCTCAGGCCTACGTGTTAAATGGTTGGCCAGGGCCAAAATAATGGGTGGAGCCCTGGGGCTGTATTAGATGGTGGGAGGAGTAATCCTTCCCAGCAATAAGTTGGAAAAACTAAATTTCATCAGTGTGTCTTGGGAGTGTATTAGGAACAGGGCCGCAAGCCCGTATCCTCGGGGCTGAGGGCAGCCATCAACATCGTGGCCGTAGTGCGGGTATTTAAGGTAGAGTAGCACTTGAGTTTCGTGTCCTCGGTAAATATCCATTGTGCCTCTAGGGAAATAGAATAGGTGATGTGTTCAAATTGTCTTAATTTACGTTTCATAAAATAAATTGTATAGCTTGTCCAGTGGTATTCACTAACTCCCCTTTGATATATTTTGCTACTTTGTCATTTTTAGGTGTTGTATTGGAAGCCCCCAGGTTCTCCTACTATTAATAGATACTAAAGTTGCCCTTGGATTTAAATTAGTAACGTAAATTACACAAACTAATTTTCCAAAATTTATTACTGAAATTCATATTACCCGGAGTCCCATGGTTACTGATTCCTTGCCTTCCTGGGGGATCAGTGATTGACACATTCAGGTATGGTGGGTCAGGAAGGTGGTGGCAGTGTAAATGTGTTTTGTTATTTGTTTTTTTTTAAACTAATAACCCTTGTCCTTGGTGTATCTTCCTCATTTAATATTCCTCTTATATACGGGGCAGTCCAGTGAGGGGTCATGCTGGACTGTAACAGTGTTAAGCTGGGGTATTGAGTGAAGAGAGACAGAGTTGTACAACAGAGAGCGTATATTACGATCACGAGAGATAACAAGATAACAGGATTAATACTGGGAAACATTGGGTTATTACAATAAAGGCCGCGGTTAATACGGCAGGGTAAGCGGTCATTACAGAGCAAGTAACACTAGGACACGTAACACAAGAACACGTAACACAAGAGCAAGTAACACAAGAACAAGTAACACAAGAAAAGTAACACAATATAACCATAACACTATATAACAACATTACATAGCAAATAACATTATATAACATGCGACACTGAAGAATAAGTAACACCTAAATAATCAATATTTCAGAACAAAAACCAATTGATAAAATTAGCACGAATTCTATAGAATAAGTAACACCAGAAGTACCACAAATATTATAAAAGATAAATCACTAGAGAAAAGTAGCGGTTTAATAAATAATAATTATCACTAATAATCAGTACTGTAAAATAAACTCCTCCTGTAGACGGTAGACCGTCCAAGGGGCTGGACACTCTACCGTCCAAGGGGCTGGACACTCTACCGTCCAAGGGGCTGGACACTCTACCGTCCAAGGGGCTGGACACTCTACCGTCCAAGGGGCTGGACACTCTACCGTCCAAGTGGTTAGGCACCATTCCTCCCCCCCCCGTCCCCTCCCAAATCCTAATCCTGACCCCTTTCCCAGTGTAATATAGTCGTAATGGCTTGGCGCTTTCTCTCGATAATTCCCTTTATTTTTATTATAAATAACATTACAAACAAATTGACAATTTAGAGCAAGCGATCACTGTACATAGAGGCAATTGATAATGGTGGAAATTAATAGATGTGACTGAGAGATGGTTGTATGGACGTTTGCAACAAAGAAATAGAATTGTTGAGATAGACATTTATATGATAATGTTAGAGTCGTGTGATACCTGAAGACTGAGGGAGACACAAATGAGACTAAGAGACACAGATTAACAATACATTACAGCTGCTAATCTCGTGCTGTTGCAGGTTCCAGCAGATCGAGTCGATGCAGCTGGAGACCCGGCGGTGCGGGGAGGGGCGTGGAGGGCGGCAGCAGCTGGGACGCGGCCGACGCCTCGGTTCTGCCTCGCGCCCAACCCCCGACGACGACGACGACGAGGACGACGAGAGCGTCCGTGTAAATCTAGGCGAAGACGTCGCCGCCGCCACCACACCTGGGGAGGAGGCGTGTCTGGCGCGCCTCAGTGTGCCGCCCCCCTCCACCCATGCCTCCCGCCGAACCTCAGCCAATTCTTCCGTGTACTCGCACATCCCCGACAACTTCAACATGTTCAGGATGGGCGGCATCAACTGGTGCGTGTGGGCGGCGTTCATAGTTATCACCATGCTGCTGGTGCCCGCCCATCTCTACCTTAAAAACTTCGACTACAGAGGAGAACTAATTGGCATTTTCTTCGTCATCATCCTCCTCTTCCTCGTGTGTTTTTCCGTCTCTCTCTTCCACACTAAGACTCGAGCCATCCTCCTCCACCGGCTCAACCTCGAGGACGATGCTCGAGGCTGTGCTCTTGACACTGAGACGGTGTCACCGTCACGCCGGCGCCATTTTTTCCCGCCAACACCTCTCACCAGCCGTCGGCTGCCACGCCACATGTCCTACCCGCTAGTCCGTGTGTCCATGTCCACGCCTGATCTCCTTGTCAACGGACAGACGCCGGGCGCGCCGGACAGAGTAAGGCGCACGCACACCCACGCCTCGCGAGGGACTCTCAGCGGCATCTTAAGGTCGTACGACATCACGACGCCGAGACCGGAGGCGTCTCAGGCCTCCAACGCAGGCAGCGACCCGCCACCATACCACCTGGCCATACTGCTCCCCACGCCCACACACGCCCCCACAGCAAGACGCTGCGAGACACCCCCGCCCGCATATGAGGTAGTTCAGTGACACCCAGCGCTTTCGTGTGTGTATGTGACTAATGAGTCCCGTGTGTGTGTAGTTGTGCCTGCTCAAGCAAGCAGTCGTGCGTGAATGTGACTAAGCAGAAAGCCCGACCTGGCACACCACAGGTGACACGGCTTCAGGAGGGACTGAGCACACACCTGGGCCAGCCACACCACAGGCTACATGGGATGGTGCTGCAGAATCCCCACAGTATTACACCCACACAACCACATCGCTAAACTAATTATTCAATCCACTTAGTGACTTGTGGTCGTGTGACGCAACAGTGCCACACCACGTCAACATTCAAGTACGAAACCCAAACTTTTTCAAACCAGATAATGTTGTGGTAAATGCCCCTCCGAGTCTTTCAACCAAAGCCAATACCTAAGGGGTTCTTTTCGGCTTTAACCATGACCTATGACATTGATTCCCTTGTTTTATACCGTCTTAAAGTATGCCAAATTCCTTTTAGCCTATCGTACATTCGCAAGCACCATCGAGTATATGAAGTGCACAGATATACCGCATATTATACCAAGGTCACGACACCACATTATGCGAAGGTAACGGATATGTAGCATATTCACGATCACCATGGGATCCGTGGTCCCACAGGGTCTGTGGTACCATGGTATCCGTGGTCCCACAGGGTCTGTGGTACCGTGGGATCCGTGGTCCCACAGGGTCTGTGGTACCGTGGGATCCGTGGTCCCACAGAGTCTGTGGTACCGTGGGATCCGTGGTCCCATAGGGTCTGCGGTACGCGTGATCCCACAGGGTCTATGGTACCATAAATAATAGATAAATTATTCGGGTTATCCCAAACCTCACAAGTTCTCCCATAATCAAAATAATGCATTAATATTTCACATAATCCTTCAGTTATTAAACTAATCCTGCAGTTGTTATGACAATACTGCGGATGTTAAGCTAATCAAGCAGATGTTAAGGTAATCCTACCGTGACTGACCATGAACGGGAAGCTTTAATTAGCAGTTAAGTGGCACTTAATGGTTGTTGGTCGCAGATTTATTTCTGTAAATAATAAGGTTGTTAATATCACAGTCGTTACCATGTCTAAAGATAATCTAATTAGCAAAATCTAATCAAAAAGTTATGAAACAAAATATGTTGTACGAGTATATATATTATGTTCATCATGTATTTGTATTTGTTAAGCTTAACAACAAATATTTGTATTTGTTTTGTATTTTGTATGTGTTGTACGAAAAAAGGAAATCTGTGAACAAAAATCAGCGTGAACAAAAAAAAGACTCTTGGCTCTTCAAAATATGTGTGATGGTCTAACGAAGCTCTATACTGATCTCTATACTGAGCAATAAACTGAACTGAGCAATAAACTGAACCAATTACTAAACTGAGCAATAAACTGAACCAATTACTGAACTGAGCAAAAATTTAACCAATTACTGAAATTGATATTTCGTTGATGCTTGGCTGTCCAAGTCTCGTATGTTTCCTCCAGCATTAGACGTGCTGTATTCCTTAAGAAGTATGTTGGGAGGCGTATGAATGAAGTGTGATTTGAAGTTTATTGAACATGTTTGAACCGTTTTGTTATGAAAGTTTAATGGTATTTGTTATAAAATATATTTGGTCATATGATCGTATTTATTTTGGAATATATTTGGACACGTATGGACATATTTGGTATGAAGTATATTTGCATACGTATGGACGTATTTGTTAAAAAGTATATTTGGACTTTTATGCATATTATTTGTTGAAACGCACTTTATAAACACTGTATTCGTAATGACATGTATATGATAGTATATTCAAGTCTACCTCATATTTAGACATACATGACCGGGATACATTTGATATATTCTGTGTATTTGGGTATGTATAACAGTGCTCATTCGGTAAATGTGCTTACAAAATCAACTTAAACTTATTTGAACACAACGAACGGGATCCCGTAGCAGGGTTCGACCCCTTCTTCATGCTGTAACCCGTCCTCAGACCAAGTCCATTCCATCCAGCGGTCGACCCCTAAGACGTAATCATCAATTTTAACATTCTGTTCATTCAAAACAGAACTTTTCTCAAATATATATTAATATTATTAAATATTAGCATATTGTGCACATTTAGGTTAGGTTAGGTGTTTAGGTTCTGTTGGCGATTATTTGTATTTGTTTAACATGTCTAAAGATAATCTAATCGTGGGTGAAGCATTTACAGCGTTGTTGTTCGAACTAAAGTCGTCAGCGAAGCACTTGTTCTGCAAGTGTTCGAACGTCATCAGTTGTGAGTCGTGTGTAAACCGTTTCTCATTCATAAATAGAGGGTTTGGCGGGTGCATGGAATGGACTTTGGCCTTTGTTTATGAGGACGGACTTCATAAACAAAGATCAAATGCTTCAGAACCCCGTTTGTGAATGAAAATCGGTTTCACACGACTCACAACTGATGACGTTCGAACATATCAAAAAGGGTTTATTATTTAGCGTTTGAATTATATAGATTTGGTTACATCTTTCTATGAAAAGTTGAAAATTTTGAGCTTAACATTCTAGGGTCTAGAATTGAGAACATACTAGGTGGACCTTGTACAGGTACCACTGTTTACCTTCTGTTACCCCTGATTCCTCAAGCATTTACACAATCGCATCCGAAACCTGGGGCCAGATTCACGAAGCAGTTACGCAAGTACTTACGAACGTGTACATCTTTTCTCAATCTTTGACGGCTTTGTTTACAATTATTTGACAGTTTATGAGCTCTGAATCACCAGGAGGCTGTTTATAACAATAACAACAGTTGATTCGGAAGTTTTCATGCTTGTAAATTGTTTAATAAATGTAAACAAAGCCGCCAAAGATTGAGAAAAGATGTACACGTTCGTAAGTTCTTGCTTAACTGCTTCGTGATCTGGCCCCCTGAAAATCTTGTCTTAGTTATGGAAACTTTGTTTACATTTATTAAACAGTTTACGAGCTTGAAAATTTCACACTCTAAAGTTATTTTTTGTTATCAACAACCCCGTGGTGCCTCGGTCGGAGCTCATAAACTGTTTAATAAGTGAAAACAAAGGCATCAGGATTGAGGGAAGATGCACATGTTTCGTAAGAGGTTGCGTCAAGGCTTGATGAATCTGGACCAGCGAAGATTCCGTTGGATCCGTTGACGGCCGGTGTCTGTTGGACCCGTTGACGGTCGTTATCTGTTAGACCTGATGACGGTCAGTGTCTGTTGGACCCGTTGACGGTCGGTGTCTGTTGGACCCGTTGACGGTCGGTGTCTGTTGGACCCGTTGACGGTCGGTGTCTGTTGGACCCGTTGACGCCCGGTGTCTGTTGGACCCGTTGACGCCCGGTGTCTGTTGGACCCGTTGACGGTCAGAGGTCTACCATCCTTGGTGAGATGGATCTATTTATTGAGGGTTTATCTATTCCTTGAGTGATCTATTCCTTGAGTGATCTATTCGTTGAGCGTTTGATCTATTTGTTTCAGGGTTTGATCTATTCGTTGAACTTTTACAGTGTTACGAGAGGATTTACTGTGCATTGTTTAAACAATAATAATAATTACAAATTATACAGTGAACATTATCATAAAAAAATCTTACTGCAGTTGTTTTCGTTATTAGCTCATTGCTTATTATTATTAATACAGTATCGTTGTTACTTTAATTATTTCGAATTGTTAGATGATTATTGTAATTATTATTATTAATAATGTGTGTGTGTGTGTGTGTGTGTGTGTGTGTGTGTGTGTGTGTGTGTGTGTGTGTGTGTGTGTGTGTGTGTGTGTGTGGGTATGTGTGGAGAGCATTTGATTTTTGTATATTTTACGTACACACATATTAATATGTGTGCTGCACGTGCATATGTTTGCATTTGTTTGGGTGTAAGTGCATGTGTATTTACTCTTTGTACGTGGACTTGTGTATGTATACGTTTGTTTATGTGTGTATTTATTTACATGTTGTCTATATTGGTGTATGATTTTGTTGATGTATGTGTATGTTCATTTGTGTATTTGTACGTGTATGCATTTATGTGTGTATATGTGTGTATTCTCCTGAATATGTGTATACACTTTGTATACGTGTGTATGATTATACACATGCCAGAGGACAGTATTGGGCACGTTCCTGGCGGGGACCTCCAAGTTCACAGCCAAGGTCTGTTTTAGTGAAATAATTTAGTAAAAATATTAATTTAAATTTTTTAATTAGAAAAAAAGGACATTAAAAATACTTGAAGAGCATTGGTGGAAACAAATGATCTTTTTATTGGATTTATGAAAAAAAAATAACTTTTATAATAAAAATCATCTTTCTTTCAAACATGTCAAGCCTCACTTAAATAGTTTCTGCCACTGTCCCTTAGTCTCTAATTCACATCTAGACGATGTTGAAGAAAACAAACGAAACTTTAAAAAGTGGCTTTCATCCCCGAAATGACCAAAAAAAACTATATATAATGTTTGACTCGCATTTGTATTTTGTTATAATTCATCAGATATGAACATTAGCGTGCGTGTTTGTGTTGGTTCATGGCGAGTCTTGACAGGTTTAGATGACATTTTTACTTGAATAACATTAGAGTAGATTACCCTCACGCGGGGCCCCTTGGACGCGGGGCCCCTTGGACGCGGGGCCCCTTGGACGCTGGGCCCTAATTTTGTCACTATTGTTCCCATTGGCTTAATGCCGGCCCTGACCTATCAGGGAATGGTCATTCTTATATGACTTATCAATACAGCAAGTAGGTCCCATATTATACCATCACGTGGTCATATCCAACATTACGAGACTCAACTAGGAAAATATATAATACTAGCTCTTTCAATATTTCACATCTTTCTTCTATCATTGCAAATATATATATAAATGTATATGCAAACTAGCTAATCCACTTAAGATAAAATATAGTACAGTATTCCTTTATTATTATTACTGCTGGTTTTGGATACGGACGTCAGAACGTTAGCTTTTTTGTACAGTGGACAGCGATGATCAAGGTACATAGTGTTGTGTTCGAGCCTCTTATTGTTATCATCTGAGGAATGAATGATCTGCATAGCCTCACGTGACTGGCTCTCTTATGCGATGGATGAATGCGTTCATTCGACAGCATTGCAGTTGGAATTACACAACTTCTGTGAATGAATGGTTTAAGCGTCACGTTTGGGGACTATTCCTACGCGACAGGATGAATCAAAACATATCGCGCGCGCGTCCGGAGGCCTTACTTAAGTCTACGCCTGGCTACGGCGATACAGGGGACGGGGTCTGCCAAGTGGACTCGAAGAAAGAGGCCAAAGGCTCGCACGCTGGTGATTGTGGTGGACATCTGCTCAGTGTAAACTGTCACCGGATTAACGTATAGTTGTGAATGTTCATTTGCAACACATGAGTCATGTATACTGTATATGCATCCTAACGCAGATGTGCATACTCTCGCTCTCGCGCGCGCACACACACACACACACACACACACACACACACACACACACACATTAGGAAGTGATGTGGTGGAGGCTGACTCCATACACAGTTTCAAGTGTAGATATGATAGAGCCCAATAGGCTCAGGAATCTGTACACCTGTTGATTGACGGTTGAGAGGCGGGACCAAAGAGCCAGAGCTCAACCCCCGCAAGCACAACTAGGTGAGTACAACTAGGTGAGTAAACACACACACACACACACACACACGCACACACACACACACACACACACACACACACACACACACACACACACACACACACACACACACACACACACACACACACACACACACACACACACACACGGTATTAAATTATTATTGTAACACTCTTCTCAGTACAACAGACGGAAGAGAAAAATGAACCAACCAGTTTAGACTCGCAAAAGGCGGAGGCTGGCCCTGTATACACCACAACTCCCACGGGCGGAGGCTGGCCCTGTATCCACCACAACTCCCACGGGCGGAGGCTGGCCCTGTATACACCACAACTCCCACGGGCGGAGGCTGGCCCTGTATACACCACAACTCCCACGGGCGGAGGCTGGCCCTGTATACACCACAACGCCCACGGGCGGAGGCTGGCCCTGTATACACCACAACGCCCACGGGCGGAGGCTGGCCCTGTATACACCACAACTCCCACGGGCGGAGGCTGGCCCTGTATACACCACAACTCCCACGGGCGGAGGCTGGCCCTGTATACACCACAACTCCCACGGGCGGAGGCTGGCCCTGTATACACCACAACTCCCACGGGCGGAGGCTGGCCCTGTATACACCACAACTCCCACGGGCGGAGGCTGGCCCTGTATACACCACAACTCCCACGGGCGGAGGCTGGCCCTGTATACACCACAACTCCCACGGGCGGAGGCTGGCCCTGTATACACCACAACTCCCACGGGCGGAGGCTGGCCCTGTATACACCACAACTCCCACGGGCGGAGGCTGGCCCTGTATCCACCACAACTCCCACGGGCGGAGGCTGGCCCTGTATACACCACAACTCCCACGGGCGGAGGCTGGCCCTGTATACACCACAACTCCCACGGGCGGAGGCTGGCCCTGTATACACCACAACTCCCACGGGCGGAGGCTGGCCCTGTATACACCACAACTCCCACGGGCGGAGGCTGGCCCTGTATACACCACAACTCCCACGGGCGGAGGCTGGCCCTGTATACACCACAACTCCCACGGGCGGAGGCTGGCCCTGTATACACCACAACTCCCACGGGCGGAGGCTGGCCCTGTATACACCACAACTCCCACGGGCGGAGGCTGGCCCTATATACACCACAACTCCCACGTTGATCGTGTCACCTCCCACGTTCCCTTGAAGACAATAACAAAACACATTTACTTGGAAATGTGCATCAATATATAAAGTTGGTGTATATACCCATCACGTCCAGCCCATGTTCATGAACATCATTTTAATAGAAGTTTGAAAGATACAACAACAAAAATGGGTGTTGTTGTCTCACGTCAGGAGTGGGGCCAGGCAGTGGAAATTTACTATTTCCAAAATTACTTGTCATGCATGCTCCTGCTTGCTCGTCGAGCCAATCAGTGGTTATTTACTATTTCCAAAATTACTTGTCATGCATGCTCCTGCTTGCTCGTCGAGCCAATCAGGAGGTTATTGAGTCAATCAGGAGGTTATTGAGTCAATCAGGAGGTTATTGAGTCAATCAGGAGGTTATTGAGTCAATCAGGAGGTTATTGAGTCAATCAGGAGGTTATTGAGTCAATCAGTGGTTTGTGCAAAGTGGAGAGCAGGTGGATAGGGGTAAGTGGGTCATTTAATTATATTTTTTACTTGTATGAGTGGAATGATTCGATACAATTATCGCTGCTTGAGATCTCACAACTGGACGAGGCGACAGCGCTACGATGGGGGCTTTGTGCATGGTGTGTAGATGAGCGGTTCTCATGTGTGTGTGTGTGCTTGCGGGGGATGAGCTCTCCTATGAGGTCTTTGATGAGAGAGAGAGAGAGAGAGAGAGAGAGAGAGAGAGAGAGAGAGAGAGAGAGAGAGAGAGAGAGAGAGAGAGAGAGAGAGAGAGAGAGAGAGAGAGAGAGAGAGAGAGAGAGAGAGAGAGAGAGAGAGAGAGAGAGAGAGAGAGAGAGAGAGAGAGAGAGAGAGAGAGAGAGAGAGAGAGAGAGAGAGAGAGAGAGAGAGAGAGAGAGAGAGAGAGACAGGGAGAGAGGGGGGGGAGGGGGGGTAGGTAAGCATGTACGTACAGAAACACTACGCACATGTGCA